ATTTGTGTTGGCAAATTCAACGGTTTTGTAAAGTTGAGACCAGATCTAAACCAAGTCCTAGCCAAACTAGTCCAAAAGCCATGAGAAACCAGAAGTCTTAACCAAAACACAAATGCTAAAATAGGATCAAACACAACATTTCCAGCGTTTTGCACAGAACACTAGAATCACCAGCGTTTACACAGAAAATCATAGCAAACGTAAGACAGTATTAAATGTGTGATATAGTAGTGTACTCGCTCGGTAATGGCGCTTTTAGAAGTTGTGGTAGTTGCACGGAAATCAAATTAAAATCAAGAGAAAGGTTTACAGGCGAGGATAGTGGGTACCTCTCAAATATGAAGCTAATAAAAAGATATGCTAGCATCCACATGAAATATCCAAGAACAATATCAAACAAACAGCCATAAAATCCTACTGTTAAGTTTTGACTTGTAAATAGAAATAAATTTGTAAATATGGCAAATACTGAAGCTTGTAGATTGTATATTTATTTGCATGTGTTTGTATTTAATATAGGCAACATAATGTACAAAAGTCTATTTCCATAAACCCAGAAATGTAAATATGGTGAATACTTATGAATTTATAATTTCTGCTCGAATGAATCAATATGAAATTAATAGTAAAAATATGGAGAACATAAATATGAACCAAAACAAATTGTGCTGCAATTTTAATTTTTTTTATCTGCTCCTTTTTCTGGTGGGACAAGACTATGGACAAGTACTGTAACTGTAATATGTTGTGTATTATCATGTCCACAATTGAAATATATAATAATAACAATTATAAATGTTCAAAAATATTGTCACTACTAGATGGTTTTCAAGGAATGTGCGCTCAGGCTCAAGCTTTATCCAACCGCTTTGAACATGTAAAAATGTCAATTTGTTTGGTAAAATTATGTTCCCAGAATTAGAATCAGAATCATCTGCAGTGAACCTCGGAAAATTAAAATATCTGTTAAAAGTCCACTGAAATGTAAATGTGAAGCTAAGAAAAAGCCATGTAACCATCCACAACAATGCAATCCTATGAAATTAATAGTTAAGAATATGGAGAAAATAGATAATAGTTAAAAAAATAGAAAAATAAAAACACTTCTGAAGTCCGTCTTTAAACATTAAATTAATCTTATGGCAAAATGTAATTTCTTTGTTCTGCTGCTTTTCATTTGTGTGAAAGTACTAAAAGTATTTGAAATGTAACTGATGTTGGGTAAAGTCAAGACCACAATTTAAATAAATGGACAAACATTTAAAATCATATTCAATACAGTTTGGTGTCGTACGAAACACCAAAATACTCTTTCACATGTGTTATTGCTTCATCTCTACATTCTCTTGTACGTGTTTTTGTATCTTTCTGTTTGGTAAAATTAAAATGCTTCAAGTTTTACCGAACGATAAAGAAAAAACACATTTTGGCTGATTGATTCTTTTTTTTTACTGTGGTGATAAAAACTCAAGTAAAACTCATGAAAGTTTATTTTGGAAAGAACCTTTGAAAGAAAATATGCCCCATTATGTTCTAAAATCAAACTATAAAAGTCTAAAAGTGCACCACTAGACTGTCCAGTTTTACAAATGTTTGTAAATTAATATGATTTTTGAGATGCAAATATTCAAGAATTATATTGGTGCAGAAGGTCGGACAGGAGCCTGGACCCTTGAGTCTAGACCCTTGAGTCTAGACCCTTGAGCCCACCATGAGGAGCTCTTTTGGTCAGGACCAAGATTGTGTTCATGGAAGAGGAGCCGTAATGTCAAATAATTATGCAGTTTTTCAAAAGGTTGACTTTAGTGTCACTTGTGCTGAAAAAAATTAAAAATAAAATATGAACCAAAAAATTACAGTGTCCAGTTGGTTATGCCAATCCATTTAGTCCTTTAAGTAACAGAAAAAGGATAACAAAAGATTACTGATTTTTTACCTTTTCTGTAGTGACACAAAAACAGTATTAGTATTAGTGCTTCTTTTAACCTTAAAGGCAGGGCACCGAATTCATACAATGTTGTGCTCTTTTCTAACAGACAGCGAAGGCCGAGTTACGATTTCATAAAGTTTTGACTCAGTGATAAAACAAAGAGGCAGAAAGAACAATGCATCTGCAAAGTCTAAAACAGAAAAGGAAAGTTGCCTGAACCTTTTCTTCAAAGATTCAATGGAATCCAGTAAAAATAATCTAATAGAATCATGACCTTGCCTTTAAACAATCACACTGTTCTGGAAAATGTTTTATTAACAGTTATTTTTTTCATCAGGCTGAAACCTTAGGAGGTGACTATCGACAAAACTCTATCCATTTGGAGATTTGACAATTTCAATCTGGTAAATGATCTTCGTATGACAGAGCCCTGGATAAAAGTGGACGTTTGTAAAGGTTTTACTGTGGCATGTAATAGTAGTAGTAGTAATGGTAGCAGTAGTAGTAGTAGTAGCAGTAGTAGTAGTAGAAAACAAGAAGGCCGACAAAGGAAGCAATGGATAAAACAAATCGAAGAAGACGCAAAAGCACAAAATATGTCACTCATCGACCTGGTAGATCTGACGAAGGAAAACTGGACCACATTTCTTGAAGGAGCTCAGTGAGTTTCTTTTAGCAGGTGAGGACACTTTTAAAGAGGCCAAGTCCTGCAGTACCCGGGCCTCCCCCGGGTCACTCCCCTCCTTCTGGGTCACATCCCCAGAAGCTCGCACCTGTAAGTCCACCTGTTCAGGGAAGCGAGGCGGGATTCTCTGGCAATAAGACCAGGCCAGAGTCAACTGTAAGGCATAGCTTTTTTTCTCACTCGATAACTCCGGGCTAGGATATAAAAAAAAAAACAGTAGTAGTAGTAGTAGCAGTAGTAGTAGTAGTGGTATTAGTAGTAGTAGTAGTATAGCAGCAAAAGCCCTATACATAATATCAGCAGTAGTAGTAGAACTAGTAGTAGTACAGCAGCAGAAGTACTATAAATAATAGCAGTTGCTGTAGTAGTAGCATCAGTAAGAGTAGTAGTATTAGTAGTAGCAGCAGTAGCAGGAGTAGTATCAGTAGTGGCCTCTGCACTGGCTTCCTGTGGCTCAGAGAATAGACTTTAAAACAGCTCTGCTTGTGTACAAGTCTCTCCATGGCCTCGCACCAAAATATATTAGTGACATGTTAGTCCCATATGAACCAGCCCGGACTCTGAGGAGCACAGGGACTGGACTCCTGCTGGGACTCTGAGGAGCACAGGGACTGGACTCCTGCTGGGACTCTGAGGAGCACAGGGACTGGACTCCTGCTGGGACTCTGAGGAGCACAGGGACTGGACTCCTGCTGGGACTCTGAGGAGCACAGGGACTGGACTCCTGTTAGTGCCCAGAGTCAGAACTAAACATGGGGAGGCTGCTTTTCAGATTCATGCTGCTAAAATCTGGAACAATCTTCCTGAAGATGTGAGACAGGCCTCCTCTCTGACAATGTTTAAAACCAGGTTAAAAACAGTTCTGTTTAGCTGTGCATACAACTGAGGGACTATATATTTTTATCTTTCTTTTTAATGTTCTGTGATTATTTATTATTTTAATTTCTATCTTGTTCAGCACTTTGAGTTGCCTTGTGTATGAATTGTGCTATACAAATAAACTTGCCTTGCCTAGTAGCAGTAGTAGCAGTAGTAATAGCAGTTGCAGTAGCAGGAGTAGTAGTAGCAGGAGTAGTATCAGTAGTAGCAGTAGTAGTAGTAGTAGTAGCAGTAGCAGAAGTAGTAGTAGCAGGAGTAGTCGTAGTAGCAGTAGTAGCAGTAGCAGAAGTAGTATTAGCAGTAGTAGTAGTAGTAGTAGTAGCAGTAGTAGTAGTAGCAGGAGTAGTCGTAGTAGTAGTAGTAGCAGAAGCAGAAGTAGTAGTAGCAGTAGCAGGAGTAGTAGTAGTAGCAGTAGTAGTAGTAGCAGTAGTAGTAGTAGCAGTAGCAGTAGTAGTAGTAGCAGTAGCAGGAGTAGTAGTAGTAGTAGTAGTAGCAGTAGCAGAAGTAGTAGTAGTAGTAGTAGTAGCAGTAGCAGAAGTAGTAGTAGTAGTAGTAGTAGTAGTAGCAGTAGTAGTAGTAGCAGTAGTAGCAGTAGCAGTAGTAGCAGTAGTAGCAGTAGCAGTAGTAGTAGTAGTACTCAGGACTGAGACAGGAGCGGCAGAGCTACATGTTTGTTCCAAAAGTTCCAGATGTTAGCATCTTTTTTTAAGCAAACACTTTTATTGTGTACAGTAGTAATGTTAAGATATTTATTTTAATGCCTTTTTCTAGTTTTGCTTTTATAACTGGTTTGCACCGCGGTACGTCAAAAAACATACAATAGCAATAAAAACAATTCTGATCCTACTGAACAAATTCTGATACTGAACAAACAGAAAAATGTGTGATTGCGGAGGCTGACTACTGGAGATGTTTAGGATATTGCTTGTGTGTGTGTGCGTTTGTTGATGGTGTGCGTTATTGTCGTGTGTGTTGGCGTGTGTGTTGTCGTGCTGTGTGTTGGCGGGTGGAGGGCGTCCTTGAACGGCTGGGTGGACGTTTGGAGGACGATCGTTAGAGCTTCCAAAACAGAGGTGAGGCCACACGAGGGGGTTCTGTGTCTAATGTGTCGGTGTGAGCGACAGGCTGGAGGTGTGAAGACTGCGGCTGTGAGAGAGTAATCCTTACTTACTTACTTACTTACAAAACCAACAAGAATTACTATGGATACAGCCACACTCATTGACAATATATTTACAAACATACTTGAGCACAAAGTTACTGCTGGATTACTTATAAACAACATTACTGATCATCTTCCTGTTTTTTGTATTTTTTTACCAGCTCCTTAAAACGTATAAATAAAGAATGATTAGACAAAAAACACCTGAGGCACTAGCAAATTTAAAAGTAGAACTATGTAATCATTCCTGGGAAGAGATATATGATGCTCCTGACCCTGACAAGGCGTACAACGCTTTTCTGTCTACAATCATTGGCCTCTATAACAAACACTGCCCAACAAAATTAATTTCTATTAAAGATGTAAGCGGTCATGAGAAACCATGGATAACCAAAGGCATAGCAAATGCATGTAAAAAGAAACAAAATTTGCGTGCCCCTAGCTTGCGTGCCCGTAGCTTGCGTGCCCGTAGCTTGCGTGCCCTTAGTTTGCGTGCCCTTAGCTTGCGTGCCCCTAGCTTGCGTGCCCGTAGCTTGCGTGCCTGTAGCTTGCGTTCCCTTAGCTTGCGTGCCCCTAGCTTGCGTGCCCGTAGCTTGCGTTCCCGTAGCTTGCGTGCCCTTAGCTTGCGTGCCCCTAGCTTGCGTGCCCGTAGCTTGCGTGCCCGTAGCTTGCGTGCCCTTAGCTTGCGTGCCCTTAGCTTGCGTGCCCGTAGCTTGCGTGCCCTTAGCTTGCGTGCCCCTAGCTTGCGTGCCCGTAGCTTGCGTGCCCGTAGCTTGCGTGCCCTTAGCTTGCGTGCCCTTAGCTTGCGTGCCCGTAGCTTGCGTGCCCTTAGCTTGCGTGCCCCTAGCTTGCGTGCCCGTAGCTTGCGTGCCCGTAGCTTGCGTGCCCTTAGCTTGCGTGCCCTTAGCTTGCGTGCCCGTAGCTTGCGTGCCCGTAGCTTGCGTGCCCGTAGCTTGCGTGCCCTTAGCTTGCGTGCCCGTAGCTTGCGTGCCCGTAGCTTGCGTGCCCGTAGCTTGCGTGCCCGTAGCTTGCGTGCCCTTAGCTTGCGTGCCCTTAGCTTGCGTGCCCTTAGCTTGCGTGCCCTTAGCTTGCGTGCCCGTAGCTTGCGTGCCCGTAGCTTGCGTGCCCTTCGCTTGCGTGCCCCTAGCTTGCGTGCCCGTAGCTTGCGTTCCCGTAGCTTGCGTGCCGTTAGCTTGCGTGCCCCTAGCTTGCGTGCCCGTAGCTTGCGTGCCCTTAGCTTGCGTGCCCGTAGCTTGCGTGCCCGTAGCTTGCGTGCCCGTAGCTTGCGTGCCCTTAGCTTGCGTGCCCGTAGCTTGCGTGCCCCTAGCTTGCGTGCCCGTAGCTTGCGTGCCCGTAGCTTGCGTGCCCCTAGCTTGCGTGCCCGTAGCTTGCGTGCCCGTAGCTTGCGTGCCCGTAGCTTGCGTGCCCCTAGCTTGCGTGCCCTTAGCTTGCGTGCCCCTAGCTTGCGTGCCCGTAGCTTGCGTGCCCGTAGCTTGCGTGCCCTTAGCTTGCGTGCCCTTAGCTTGCGTGCCCGTAGCTTGCGTGCCCTTAGCTTGCGTGCCCCTAGCTTGCGTGCCCGTAGCTTGCGTGCCCGTAGCTTGCGTGCCCTTAGCTTGCGTGCCCTTAGCTTGCGTGCCCGTAGCTTGCGTGCCCGTAGCTTGCGTGCCCGTAGCTTGCGTGCCCTTAGCTTGCGTGCCGTTAGCTTGCGTGCCCTTAGCTTGCGTGCCCGTAGCTTGCGTGCCCGTAGCTTGCGTGCCCTTAGCTTGCGTGCCCTTAGCTTGCGTGCCCTTAGCTTGCGTGCCCTTAGCTTGCGTGCCCTTAGCTTGCGTGCCCTTAGCTTGCGTGCCCTTAGCTTGCGTGCCCTTAGCTTGCGTGCCCTTCGCTTGCGTGCCCCTAGCTTGCGTGCCCTTCGCTTGCGTGCCCTTCGCTTGCGTGCCCGTAGCTTGCGTGCCCTTAGCTTGCGTGCCCTTCGCTTGCGTGCCCCTAGCTTGCGTGCCCGTAGCTTGCGTTCCCGTAGCTTGCGTGCCGTTAGCTTGCGTGCCCCTAGCTTGCGTGCCCGTAGCTTGCGTGCCCTTAGCTTGCGTGCCCTTAGCTTGCGTGCCCGTAGCTTGCGTGCCCGTAGCTTGCGTGCCCGTAGCTTGCGTGCCCTTAGCTTGCGTGCCCGTAGCTTGCGTGCCCGTAGCTTGCGTGCCCTTAGCTTGCGTGCCCCTAGCTTGCGTGCCCTTAGCTTGCGTGCCCTTCGCTTGCGTGCCCGTAGCTTGCGTGCCCTTCGCTTGCGTGCCCTTAGCTTGCATGCCCTTAGCTTGCGTGCCCTTAGCTTGCGTGCCGTTAGCTTGCGTGCCCTTAGCTTGCGTGCCCTTAGCTTGCGTGCCCTTAGCTTGCGTGCCCTTAGCTTGCGTGCCCTTAGCTTGCGTGCCCGTAGCTTGCGTGCCCTTAGCTTGCGTGCCCTTAGCTTGCGTTCCCGTAGCTTGCGTGCCCTTCGCTTGCGTGCCCTTAGCTTGCGTTCCCGTAGCTTGCGTGCCCTTAGCTTGCGTGCCCTTAGCTTGCGTGCCCTTAGCTTGCGTGCCCTTAGCTTGCGTGCCGTTAGCTTGCGTGCCCTTAGCTTGCGTGCCCCTAGCTTGCGTGCCCTTAGCTTGCGTGCCCTTCGCTTGCGTGCCCTTCGCTTGCGTGCCCTTCGCTTGCGTGCCCTTAGCTTGCGTGCCCCTAGCTTGCGTGCCGTTAGCTTGCGTGCCCTTAGCTTGCGTGCCCTTCGCTTGCGTGCCCCTAGCTTGCGTGCCCTTAGCTTGCGTGCCTGTAGCTTGCGTGCCCTTAGCTTGCGTGCCCTTAGCTTGCGTGCCCTTCGCTTGCGTGCCCCTAGCTTGCGTGCCCTTAGCTTGCGTGCCCGTAGCTTGCGTGCCCGTAGCTTGCGTGCCCGTAGCTTGCGTGCCCTTCGCTTGCGTGCCCCTAGCTTGCGTGCCCTCAGCTTGCGTGCCCTTAGCTTGCGTGCCCTTAGCTTGCGTGCCCTTAGCTTGCGTGCCCTTAGCTTGCGTGCCCTTAGCTTGCGTGCCCTTCGCTTGCGTGCCCTTCGCTTGCGTGCCCTTAGCTTGCGTGCCCTTCGCTTGCGTGCCCGTAGCTTGCGTGCCCTTAGCTTGCGTGCCCTTAGCTTGCGTGCCCTTAGCTTGCGTGCCCTTAGCTTGCGTGCCCGTAGCTTGCGTGCCCGTAGCTTGCGTGCCTGTAGCTTGCGTGCCCTTAGCTTGCGTGCCCTTAGCTTGCGTTCCCTTAGTTTGCGTGCCCTTAGCTTGCGTGCCCTTAGCTTGCGTGCCTGTAGCTTGCGTGCCCATAGCTTGCGTGCCCTTAGCTTGCGTGCCCGTAGCTTGCGTGCCCTTAGCTTGCGTGCCCTTAGCTTGCGTTCCCGTAGCTTGCGTGCCCTTCGCTTGCGTGCCCTTAGCTTGCGTTCCCGTAGCTTGCGTGCCCTTCGCTTGCGTGCCCCTAGCTTGCGTGCCCGTAGCTTGCGTGCCCGTAGCTTGCGTGCCCTTAGCTTGCGTGCCCTTAGCTTGCGTGCCCTTAGCTTGCGTGCCCTTAGCTTGCGTGCCCGTAGCTTGCGTGCCCGTAGCTTGCGTGCCTGTAGCTTGCGTGCCCTTAGCTTGCGTGCCCTTAGCTTGCGTTCCCTTAGTTTGCGTGCCCTTAGCTTGCGTGCCCTTAGCTTGCGTGCCTGTAGCTTGCGTGCCCGTAGCTTGCGTGCCCTTAGCTTGCGTGCCCTTAGCTTGCGTGCCCTTCGTTTGCGTGCCCTTCGCTTGCGTGCCCTTAGCTTGCGTGCCCTTCGCTTGCGTGCCGTTAGCTTGCGTTCCCGTAGCTTGCGTGCCCTTAGCTTGCGTGCCCGTAGCTTGCGTTCCCGTAGCTTGCGTGCCCTTAGCTTGCGTGCCCTTAGCTTGCGTGCCCTTAGCTTGCGTGCCCTTAGCTTGCGTGCCCTTAGCTTGCGTGCCCTTAGCTTGCGTGCCGTTAGCTTGCGTGCCCGTAGCTTGCGTGCCCTTAGCTTGCGTGCTCTTAGCTTGCGTGCCCGTAGCTTGCGTGCCTGTAGCTTGCGTGCCCTTAGCTTGCGTGCCCTTAGCTTGCGTGCCCTTAGCTTGCGTGCCCTTAGCTTGCGTGCCCTTAGCTTGCGTGCCCTTAGCTTGCGTGCCGTTAGCTTGCGTGCCCGTAGCTTGCGTGCCCTTAGCTTGCGTGCCCTTAGCTTGCGTGCCCGTAGCTTGCGTGCCTGTAGCTTGCGTGCCCTTAGCTTGCGTGCCCTTAGCTTGCGTGCCTTTCGCTTGCGTGCCCTTTGCTTGCGTGCCCGTAGCTTGCGTGCCCTTCGCTTGCGTGCCCTTAGCTTGCGTGCCCCTAGCTTGCGTGCCCTTAGCTTGCATGCCCCTAGCTTGCGTGCCCTTCGCTTGCGTGCCCTTAGCTTGCGTGCCCTTAGCTTGCGTGCCCCTAGCTTGCGTGCCCTTCGCTTGCGTGCCCTTAGCTTGCGTGCCCCTAGCTTGCGTGCCCGTAGCTTGCGTGCCCTTAGCTTGCGTGCCCGTAGCTTGCGTGCCCTCAGCTTGCGTGCCCGTAGCTTGCGTGCCCGTAGCTTGCGTGCCCTTCGCTTGCGTGCCCTTAGCTTGCGTGCCCTTAGCTTGCGTGCCCCTAGCTTGCGTGCCCTTAGCTTGCGTGCCCTTAGCTTGCGTGCCCGTAGCTTGCGTGCCCCTAGCTTGCGTGCCCTTAGCTTGCGTGCCCTTCGCTTGCGTGCCCTTAGCTTGCGTGCCCTTCGCTTGCGTGCCCTTAGCTTGCGTGCCCTTAGCTTGCGTGCCCCTAGCTTGCGTGCCCTTAGCTTGCGTGCCCTTCGCTTGCGTGCCCTTAGCTTGCGTGCCCTTAGCTTGCGTGCCCTTAGCTTGCGTGCCCTTAGCTTGCGTGCCCCTAGCTTGCGTGCCCTTAGCTTGCGTGCCCCTAGCTTGCGTGCCCCTAGCTTGCGTGCCCTTAGCTTGCGTGCCCCTAGCTTGCGTGCCCTTAGCTTGCGTGCCCTTCGCTTGCGTGCCCTTAGCTTGCGTGCCCCTAGCTTGCGTGCCCTTAGCTTGCGTGCCCCTAGCTTGCGTGCCCGTAGCTTGCGTGCCCTTAGCTTGCGTGCCCTTAGCTTGCGTGCCCTTAGCTTGCGTGCCCCTAGCTTGCGTGCCCCTAGCTTGCGTGCCCTTAGCTTGCGTGCCCCTAGCTTGCGTGCCCTTAGCTTGCGTGCCCTTCGCTTGCGTGCCCTTAGCTTGCGTGCCCTTAGCTTGCGTGCCCTTCGCTTGCGTGCCCTTCGCTTGCGTGCCCCTAGCTTGCGTGCCCCTAGCTTGCGTGCCCCTAGCTTGCGTGCCCCTAGCTTGCGTGCCCTTAGCTTGCGTGCCCCTAGCTTGCGTGGTTAAATATCCATGTGTTGTGAATTATACAGCACACAGCCCTTGGTGTTATTAAGGCGCCCTGGAATAGGCCTGATCTAGAAACAGTGATTCTAACCATTTCCCGTCGGGCACATAACCCGGACACCTATAGAGGAGCACACACAACAGACCGAAACAGGTGATAGATATAAAAACCTCGTGTTCAGAAGCAGCTGTGAGAGCCGTGTGCAAATCATCCTCTCATTACAGACTCTCCGATCAGCGCTGATGGTAATGATGATGAGAATAATAATAACGATTACGTGACAAAACATATTCTCTGTGAAGCAGCGGCAGGTTCAGAGAGGTGAAGGTGCAAAAACAGCTGCTCGAACTCAAGAGGACGCCGTTGAAAAAACAAATAGAAGTAACTCCAGGTTTGGATCGAGCGGTTTGTTCAGGCTTCACCTCGAATCAAATATGTAGGAAATGTGTGAGGCGCATTAAGAACGGTGTGATCCAAATGTGCAGAGAATGAGTCTTTCCAATGAGAAGTGTATGATACAGATAATGATAATAATAATAATGATGTTTATTCTGGACTCAAGGACGGTACAAAAGACAATACAATGACACTACAAGACACAGAGAAATATGAAAAGAAAAAGAAAAGAAAGTCTAACTAGAAATGGTACAATGGCTGAAGCCATTGTGAGTGGCTGCATAGATGTTGGAAAGGTTAGGATGAAGAAGGAAGAGGAAGGGGAAGAAGGAAGAAGAGGAAGAAGGAAGAAGGAAGAAGAGGAAGAAGGGGAAGAAGGGGAAGAAGGGAAAGTAGGGGAAGAAGGGGAAGAGGGAAGGGGAAGAAGGGAAGAAGGGGAAGAAGGGAAGAAGGGGAAGAGAGGAAGAGAGGAAGAAGGAGAAGAAGGGGAAGAAGAGGAAGAAGGAGAAGAAGGGGAAGAAGGGGAAGAAGGGGAAGAAGGGAAGAAGGGAAGAAGGGGAAGAAGGAAGGGGAAGAAGGGGAAGAAGGGAAGAAGGGGAAGAAGAAGAAGAAGGGAAGAAGAGGAAGAAGGGGAAGAAGAGGAAGAAGGGGAAGAAGGGGAAGAAGGGGGAAGAAAGGGGAAGAAGGGAAAGAAGGGGAAGAAGGGAAGAGGGGAAGGGGAAGAAGAGGAAGAAGGGGAAGAAGGGGAAGAAGGGGAAGAAGGGGAAGAAGGGGAAGAAGGGGAAGAAGGGAAGAAGGAGGAAGAAGGGGAAGAAGGGGAAGAAGAGGAAGAAGGAGAAGAAGGGGAAGAAGAGGAAGAAGGGGAAGAAGGGGAAGAAGGGGAAGAAGGGAAGAAGGGAAGAAGGGGAAGAAGGGAAGCTGTGGCCGCCGGTTCCCGTACTTTTCCGGAGCCTGTCCGCCGTTCCTCCCGTCCGCCTTGCCGCCGGTCCTCTCGTGTCCGCCTGCCCTCCCTTTGGCCTCCGTTTCCTCCTTTCCCTCCGCGGCCTCCGTTGCCTCCTCGTCCGCCGTTCCCTCCTTTTCCTCCTTGCCCTCCCTTTTCCTCCGTTTCCTCCCTTTCCTCCTTTGCCTCCGTCTCCCGCCTGTCCTCCTTTCCCGTCCCCCCGGTTCCTCCTTTTCCTCCTGTCCTCCGGGTCCGCCGCTTCGCTCCCGTTTTTTCCTCCGTTCCTCCGGTGCCCTCCTTGTCCTCCTGGTCACCGGTGCCTCCTGGTCCCTGCCATCTGTCCTCCTGTCCTCCTTTGGCCTGCCGTTCCCCTCCTTTCTTTGTCCTCCGTGTCCCTCCTGTGCCGCCTGGTCCTCGCTCTTCCTCCTCCATTTTCCTCCGTGGCCGCCTGGGCCTCCTTGGGCCCGCCTGGCCGCCGTTGGTCCTCCTGGCCCCTGGCCCTTCCGTTGGCCTCCTGTTTCCGGCCGTTGTCCTCCGGGGCCGCCTGTCCCTCCTGGGCCGCAGCGGCCGCCCGGCGCCGCCGTTTCCGCGCGCTTCCTCCAGTGGTCCTACCTGTTGACTCCCTTGGCCTCCATTTTCCTCCTGTCCCTACTTGTTCCTGCCGTGTCCTCCTCTTCCGTCCTTCGCCTCCGAGTCTCCTTTTCCTCCTTTTCCTCCTTTCCCTACACTGTCCTCCTTGGCCTCCTGCTCGCCTTCTCCTCCTTCTTCCGTCCTGTTTCGTCGGTGTCCGCTCGTTTCCTCCTTTTCCTCCTTTCCCGTCCCGTGGTCCTCCGCTGTCCTCTCGCTGTGGGCCCCGTGTTGCCTCCGTTTCCTCCTGGTTCCGCCGGTGTCCGCCTTGCCCTCCGTTTCCTCCTCGTCCGCCTTCTCCTCCTTTTCCTCCGTGCTTCATCCCATTATCCTTCTCCGTGCCGACCTTTCCCGACTGGAGGCCTCCTGTTCCTCCTCTTCCGCCTTCTCCTCCGCTGCCTCCCTGTCTGCCGTTTGCCGCCGGTTGCCTCCGGGCCTCCGGGCCCGAGCGGGTGCCGCCTGGTCCTCCGGGCCCTCCTCGGCCGCCCTTCCCCCGCCGTCCGCCCTTGTGCCATCACTACGTTTCCTCCTTTTCCGCCCGGGTTCCGCCGTTCCCTCCCGTGTTCCTCCAGCGGCCTCCTTGTGCCGCCTGGGGCCTCCTGGCCGCCTGGTGCCTCCGTGTTCCGCCGGTTGGCCTCCTTTTGTCGCCCTGTTCCTTCCTGTTTCCTCCCTGGTTCCGCCTTGCCCGATCCGGTTTCCTCCTGTGTCCGTCCTTTCCCGCCTCTTCCTCCATTTCCTCTCTTCCTCCGTCCGCCTTTTCCTCCTTTCCCGCCGTTTCCTACCCTTGTGCCCGCCTTTCCGCCGTGTCCTCCGTCTGTCCTCCTTCCTCCTGGCCCTCCGGTTGCCGCCTGTTTCCTCCTGTCCTCATTTGCCGCCGCTTCCGCCGGGCCTCTGGGTCCCCGCCGTGTCCCTCCGTTTCCTGCCTGTTTCCTCCGTGTCCTCCTGTTCCTCCTTCTGCCTCATTGTTTTCCTCCTTTCCCAGACCTGGTCCGCCGTGTCCGCCGGGGCCCGCCGGTGGCCTGCCGGTCCTCCTGGCCTCCTTTTCCTCTTTCCTCCGTTTCCGCCGGTCCTCCTTGTCCTCCATTGCCTCTCCTTCCCGCCGGGGCCTCCTGGTCCCGTCCTTTGCCTCTTGTTCCTCCTGTCCTCCTTTTTCCTCCTTCTGTCCTCCCGCGGCCTCCCCGGGTCCTCCCTCTTCCGCTCCGTCGCCGCTGCGTGCCGCCTGTCCCGCCGTTCCTCCCTTTGCCGCCGCGGCGCTCCTTTTCCTCCCTGTTCCCTCCGTTTCCGCCGTGCCCGGCCTTGTTTCCTACCTTTTGCCTCCTGCCCGCCTTTCCTCCCGTGCCCGGTCCTCCTGTTCCGCCCTTTCCGCCTTTTGCCTCCTTTCCTGCCTGGTCTGTCCTTCCTCCTGTGGCTTCCGGTGCCTCCTTTTCCTCCTGGCCCCTGTCCTGTTGCCTCCTTTTCCTCCGTTTCCGCCGGTTGCCTCCGTGTCCTCCCTTGGCCGCCCGTGTCCGCCCATTTCCTCCTTGCCCTCCTGGCCTCCTTGCCTCCTTTGCCTCCTTAGCCTCCGCTTCCTCCTTGGTCCTCCTCTTGTCCCTGCCTTGTCCTACTTTCCGCCGTTTGCCCCTTTTCCTCCCGTTCCTCCTTGTCCTCCTGCTCCTCCGCAGTCCCTCCTTGTCCTCCTCGTCCTGCCTTCTGCCTCCGCGTCCCGCCTTGTCCTCCCTTTCCCGCCTCTGCCCCGTGTCCTCCGTGCCTCCGTTCCCGTCCTTTTCCCCTCCTGTTTCCTCCTGTGCCTCCCTGGCCGACCGGTTCCGCAGCTCCTGGTGCTCCTCCCGCGGCCTCCCTTTCCTCCGGTTCCTCCGGTGCCTCCTGTGCCCGCCTTTTCCATCCTGTTCCTCCGGGCCGCCCGGTGCCTCCGAGGTCCTCCTTTCCGCCTGTGCCTCCCCTGGCCGCCTTTGCCCCTCCTGTTTCCTCCTTGTCAGCCTGTTCGCCCTCCTGCTCCGCCCGCTTCCTCCGGTGCGCCGTTCCGCCGTTGCCTCCGGTGTCCTCCCTGTCCTCTCCTGCCCCGTCGCCCTCCACTTTGCCTCCCCTTTGCCTCACCCCGGTGGCCTCCTGTCCCTCCTGTCCCTCCTGGTACACTCCGTTTCCTCCTTTCCTCCTTTCCGCACTTTCCTCCTTTGCCTTCCTTTCCTCCTTGCCCCTGTTGCCGTCCGGTGCCCTCCTGTCCTCCTTGGCCGCCGGTCCCTCCTTTTTCCGCCTGTCCCCTTTGTCCGCCGCTTCTCCTTGTTCCCCTTGTCCTCCTGGCCTCCTTGTTTCCTGTCCTGTCCCTCCGGGCCCTCCTGTTTCCGCCCGGTGTCCGCCGGTTCCTGCCTTGTGTTTACTCCTTGTCCGCCGGTGGCATCCTGTCCCTCCATTTTCCTCCGTTTTCCGCCAGGCCTCCTTGCCTCCGCGCCGCCGCTGCCTCCGTGGTCCTCCTTTTCCGCCGTGTCCCGCCTTTTCCTCCTTTCCTCCTTTGCCGCCTGTGCCTCCTTTCCGCCAGCTTCCCTCCCTTTCCCCTCCCGGTGCGCCCTGTGTTCCGACCTTGTTTCCTCCTGTTCCCCGCTCCGCCTAGTCCTCCCTGCGCCTCCGCGTCCTCCTTCTCCATCCGCGTCCGCCGTTTCCTCCTCGACCGCCGTTCACCGCCTTTTTCCTCCGGTGCCTGCCTTTTCCTCCTCATTGACGCCTTTTTGCCTCAGGGGGGGGGGGGGGGGGGGGGGGGGTGGGGGTGGGACGCCTGTCCCTGCCGGCCCTCCCCCTTTTCCTCCGGTTCCGCCTTTCCTCCGTGGCCAGCCGCTGCCGTCTTTGCCTCCCCGCGGCCGCCTTGGCCTCCTGTTGCCTCCGTGGCCGCCTTTCCTCCTTTGGCCTCCTTTTCCGCCCCTTGCCGCCCGTGTGTCCGCCTGTGGCCGCCGTTCCGCCTTTCCCGCCGTGGTCCTCCTGGGTGCCTACCTTCGCCGCCTGCGTCCCTCCTTCTCCTCCATGCAGCCTTTTCCTCCGTGCCTCCTGTGTTGCCTCCCCGTTGCCCCGGCCTCCGGGTCCCGCCTGTGCCCTCCCTTGTCCTCCTTGCCTCCCCCCCCCGGGGCTGGCCGTGGTCCAGCCCCTTGGTCCGTCCGGGTCGCCTGTGCCCGCCTTGAGCCTCCCTGGTCCTCCTGTGCCGCCCTGGTGTCCGCACGGGGCCTCCGTGCCGCCTGGCCCGCCTGGTGTCCCTCGCCGTATTCCGCCGGGTCCGCCCTGGGCCGCCGGGCCTCACCGGGTGTCACCTGGGCCTCCTTGCCGCACGCCTGGGCCGCTTGGCCCGTGCCCTGGGCCTGCCCTCCTCGCCGGTTCCTCACTTTTCCTCCCGTTGCCTCCGTGTCCTCCGGCCCTCCTCTTGCCTGCCGTTGCCCTCCCCTGTGCGTCCGTTCCCGCCGTGTCCGCCTGGTCCGCACGTTCCGCCGCTCGCGTCCTCCTGGTTCCTCCGTTTCCGCCCGGTTCCTCCGGGGCCCTCCTTGGCCGGCCTTGTACTCCCGTGTGCCGCCTTGCCTTCCGTGTGCCGCCGCTGTCCTCCTCGTCCTGCTTCGCCGCCGCCTGTCCGCCGTCGCCGCAGCGGCCTCCTTTGTCCTCCGCGGCCTCCCGGGCCGCCGTGCCAGCCTGTGTCCGCCCCCCCGTGTCCGCCTTTGCCGCCGGCCGCCGTGGGTCCGCCGGTCCCCTCCTGTTGCCCCGTTGCCTCCGTGCCTCCCATCGTCCGCCGCGCCGCTGGCGCCGCCGTGCTTGCCGCCCGGCGCCCTCCTCTCGCCGCCTGGCCGCCTCGGCCGTCTTGTGGGCCGTGCCCCTTGCCCCTTGCGCCGCCTGCGTCCTCCTTGTCCATCCGCAGTCCGCCCTTTGCCGCCGTTGGGCCTCTCGTCTCCTTCTCTCCGCTTCCCCTGGCTCCGCCTCTTCCTCCGTGGTCCGCCGTCTGTGTGCGCTCCTATCTCCTCCGCGACCTCCGTTTCCTCCGCGGCCTCCGGCAGACCGTTGGCCGCCGGTCCCGCCGTTGCCTCCTTTGCCTCCGTTCCTCCCTTTCCTCCCGGAGTGTCCGCCTGTGCCCGTCCGGTGCCGCCCGGGGCCTGCCTGTGTCATCGCGCCGTCCCCTCTCCGCCTGCTCCTCCTCGGCCTCCGTCTCCTCCTCGCCGCCGGTTCCTCCTCTTGTCCCGCCTTTTCCTCCTAGTTCCCCTTCTCCTCCGCTGCCGCCGTTTTCCGTCCTTTGCCTTGCCTCCCTGTGTTGGCCTCCTTTTCCTCCGCTGCCTCCCGTCGCCTCCCTCTTCCTCCTGCTCCTCTCTTCCCGCAGGTGTGCCGCCTCTTTCCCTCCCTTTGCCGGTCCTTGTGGCCTGCCGTCGCCTCCCTCTTCCGCATGTTGTCCTCCTGCTTCCTCAGGTCTCCTTCCTCTTCCGTCCTTTGCCGCCGTCGCCTCAGCTGCCCGCATGTTTCCGTCCCTCTTTCCTTCCCTGTGCCTTTCCGGCCCCTACCCTGCTTCCTCCGTGCCTCCGCTGCCTCCTGTCTCCTCACTCTTCCTCCCTTTTCCGCCGCGTCCTCCTGTGCGGTTCCTTCCTGCTCTCCCTCCCTCCCGGTCCTCCTTTGCCGCCTCGAGCCGCCCGTGGTCCCCCCGTCCACCTTTCCTCCGCGTGCCGGCCGTTCCTCAGTGTGGCCGCCTCTGCCCGCCCTTGCCTTCCCTTTCCTCCCGTTTCCTCCGCGTCCCTCCCTGTTCCGCCTCTTGCCCCTCGCCTGCTCCGCCTCTTCCCCGTTTCCGTCCTTTCCTCCTCCCGGCCCTTCCCTCCCCGTTGCCGACCTGTCCGCCGGCTCCGCAGCCTGCCTCCCACGCGTTTCCGTCCGTCGGCCGCCCCCGCCCGGGGCAGCCGGCTCCGCCGGGTCCGCCCCGCTGCTCCGGCGTGCTCCGCCGCGGCCTCTCCCAGTTTCCTCCGGGCCCCTCCAACGCCCGCCGAGTCGGCCGCCGGGTCAGCCGCGCAGCAGCCGGGGCCGCCCGGCGCCCCCGGGGCGTCTGCCTCCTTTCCTCCGTGGCTTCCTGCTCTCTGCCCTCTGCTCCTCCCCGGCGCCTCCTGTGCGCTCCCCTGGCCTCCTCGTCCGTCCCCGAGGCCGCCCTGCGACCGCCGCCGGCCTCCGTGTGCCAGCCACGGTCCACCCCCCGGTTCCTGCTCCGTCCGCCGGGTCCTCCTGTCCTCCTCGGCCTCCTCTTCCAGCGTGCCCCGCTTCCGCCGCGGCCGCACGACCTCCTCGGCCTCCGGGGCCTCCGCTTCCTGGCGCGGCCTCCTTGTTCCCGCAGCTGCCACCTTTAGCCTCACCCGAGTGCCCCCTCGGGGTCTCCGTCGCCTCCTCTCCCGCGGCCGCTTTGCCGCCTTGGCCGCCTGCCATTCCGCACGTCGCGCTCCGCGTGCCGCCTGTTTTCCTCCGCTTTCCTCCCTGCCCGCCTGTCCGCCCTGCTCCGCCGCTGGCCCCTCGCCAGCCCTGTCGCCCGTCCCTGCCTCCGTGCCTCGGTCCGCCTGCGCCTCCGCGTCCTCCGGGGCCGCCGGCCGCCGCGGCCGCCCCCGGCGCCGCCGGACGGCCGCCGGGGCCGTCCCGTGCCTCCTCGGCCGCCTTGCGCCGTCCGCGTGCCGACGCTGCCTCCGCTTCCGTTCGCTTCCTCCTTCCGGTCCCCCGCTTCCACCATGTTTCCTTCCCCGCCGCCGCGGTGCCGCCTCGTCCAGCCAACAACCCCCCAGCGAACCAAGCGATTCAGCCACGTACCTCAGCAGCCCCACCCATCCACCAATACCCTCCGGCCCAATACCCCCCTTGTATACCCCGGCCTAAGTAGTCTCTAAGGGTGTTAGCACCCCTGACCACACCTTCACACCCATACAACCCCACTTATAGAATCTACACCCGACTTGTACCCACCGAGCGAATAACTGAACAGTGCATTTAATGATAATAAGGCACCTTTTTTTTTATACTGGGCGACAGTGGCTCAGTTGGTAGAGCATTGGCCTTTGGACCTGAAGGTCGTGGGTTCGAGCTCATCGTAAGACCTACTTCACGACCACCCACTGATGACTGCTGTCGTTGTGTCCTTCGGTTGTTGTGACACTTGACCCCACTTTGCCTGAAGCCCCCGCTGAAAGATCTCAGCTTCTGTGGACTCACCACCTGCAGGAGGATCAGTGAGGGGCTGGAGCTAAGTGTACTGGATGGACGGTTTTATAAAACGCTTTTTTGGACTCTAAAAGACATGTTATTATTCATTCGCTCCAAACACAAAGGGTATAAACTACTACAGTAGCCACAGCTGCCCTGGGGCACACTGACAGAAGCCCCTCCCACCACCACCAACCATTCACACACACACCAGACTTCAGTGTGTTCATTCTGGTTCTCACAAACGACTCGATCGCTTGAGTCGATCCAAGCTTTTTTAACAGCATCCTCGTTGAAAGCTACCTGCAGTTTCTGAAGACTAACTTTTTATAGTTCAGCCATAGATGTGTAGTAGGAAGTAAGTAAGTAAGTTTTTATTTATATACCGCCTTTTCACTGCAGATCTGAGTCTCAAAGCGGTTTACAATTGTTAATTTTGGGCATTTGTCTCTCACTCCACACAGAGATGGGAGCGGGGTCGCCAGTACAGGAGGCACATGCCAGAACTATTGGTAGGGGAAACCGGAGTACCTGGAGGAAACCTACGCAGACACGGGGAGAACATGCAAACTCCACTCAGAAAGGCCCTGGTCCGACCGGGATTCGAACCCAGGACCTTCTTGCTGAGAGGCGAGCTTAACCCTTTAGGCGCCAGAGTTTTTTCAAGAAAATATATAATTTTGATTTCAAGATTTAAAAAGGCTATAACTTTAAAATGGTTTGAGATAAAGGCATACTGTAAATTAGAAATATCTTCAGTTTGAACCAAACTTTGGGATGGAAGTTGATTCGTCATCTAATTTGCATATTGTGACGTCATCAAAGTGGCGGCCATTTTGGAAAATGTTAATTATTGTATAAAGACTTCAAAAAGCTGTAGCTTGGGAGTTATTTGAGATCAGGGAATACTATAAACAGTCAATGTGAAATATCTTTAGTATAAAATGAATTTGAGATAGAAATAAATTCCCTGATCCAGATTATAGATAATGTTTTAGCACTAGTTCGCGGCCATATGGAATTGTATTCAACTCAACTCAACTCAAAAACTTTATTGTCCCCAAGGGGAAAATTGTTTGCATGTGGTGGAGCAATACAAATAGCAATACAATACAATAATACAAAGATCTCAGTGAGTATGGCACATATCAGGGAACATCACAACATAATCAAGAGGAAGCATGTCTAGATCTTTAAAATTGTCTGTTCAACAGATTAACTGCGGAGACCACAAATGAACATTTGAAACGGTTTGTTCTAGCCCTGGGAAGCCGATATCTTCTCCCAGAGGGGAGCAGTTCGAACTCCAACCTCAGGGGGTGGTCACAGATGGACAAAACAGACTGAACTTTGTTCAGGACCTGTCTTTCATATATTTGTGTCAGAGACATTTGTTGTTGGCCAATTATACGATTGGCCTCAGACACAATTTTTCCCATGCGACTTCTGTTTTGGACAGACAGGTTTCCGTAAAAGGAAACTAAACAGAAGGACAGAACAGACTCGATAAAGGACCTGTAAAAAAGCATAATCAGGGACTTGTCAACATCAAAAAACTTTAGTCTGCGTAAAAAGTACATTCGTTGTGCCCCTTTTTTGCAGATCTGGGAAGTGTTCTCATCAAACCTCAGACGGTTGTCTATGATGGTTCCCAGATACTTGTATGACTCCACTGTCTCCACTGCACAGCTGTGGATGACAGTTGGGGGCAGTGAGAGTTGTGGAGCCTTCCCAAAGTTAAGGACCATTTCTTTAGTCTTCTTCACATTCAGAGTGAGGACGTGCCTGTCACACCACTGGACAAAGTCCTCCATGACTGGTCCATGCTCCACTTCTCCATCCTGCAGCAGACTGACCAGGACTGTGTCATCTGCAAACTTCAACAAATGTCTGTTTGGATGCTTGCTCTGACAGTCATTTGTGTAGAGTATGTACAGAAGGGGTGAGAGGACGCACCCTTGTGGAGATCCTATGGATGACTCTTTTTTCTCAGACATTATTCCATTCACTCGAACTCTCTGCGGCCTGCGTGTTAAAAAGTCATCAATCCACTTCACCAAGTTTGGATTCAGATTAAAATCAGCCAATAATTTAGAAAATAAAATATGTGGCTGAATAGTATTAAAAGCAGAAGAGAAATCAGCAAAAAGCAGCCGAGCTTGAGTCCTGCAACCTTCCAGATGCCTGGAGACCAGGTGGAACAAGGTAACGGTTGCGTCCTCCACTCCTCTCCTGTCGCGATATGCAAACTGCATGGGGTCCAGTCTCTCCTGAACTTCTGTTGTTAAAAACTCCTTCACTAGACGTTCAAAGCTCTTCATTACTAGTGAAGTCAGAGCGACTAGCCGAAAGTCGTTAAGCTCTCGTGGAGACTTTGTTTTTGCCACTGGCACGATCACTGACTCTTTCCACAGTGATGGAACTTTGTGCTGTGAGAGAGAGCAGTTAAAAATATCACAAAAAACGTCACAAAGCTGGTCAGCACAGGACTTCAAGAGGTTCCCAGTGATCAGATCAGGACCTGGACTCTTCCTCCAGTTGCATTTTAAAAACATGCCTTTGACATCTGATGCACTAACGTTGAGAGCAGGTGATGCCATGTGATCACTCAGTATCTCCCTAGTGGCATCTATTTGTGCATTTGAGAGAGCAGTGTCAGTATTAAACCTTAAATAAAAGTCATTCAAAGCATTTGCACTCTCTGCACTGTCTTTTAGACCCTCAATGTTCTCAGTTTTTCTTTTTGACTGACCCGTCATAGCTTTCATGCCCATCCCACACCGCTTTCAGGTCATTGCTGTGGAATTTGGCCTCAATCCTATTTTTATATTGAAGTTGGGCTTTTCGCATTGCCACTTTGGCTTCTTTCTTGGCCTCCCTATATTCATTTGTATCCCCATGGAGGAAAGCAATATGTTTCCTATGTAGGGCCTCTCGAGCATCTCTGTTAAACCAGGGTTTGTTATTAGGAAAGACCTTGACTTCCCTAACTGGTATGATGCAGTCTTTTAAATAGTTCACATAGGAAGAGACAGCAACTGTCCACTCATCAAGATCGGAGGAGACAAAGACACTCCAGTCTGTTGTCTCCAGTGCTCCCTTCAGTTCATCAATAGCACTGGTGCTCCACGTCTCTACTTTTTTGACCACTTTCTTTCCTCTTTTCAAGAGTGATCTGTAGATGGGGCTCAGAAACACAGAATTGTGGTCTGAAGACCCAAGAGGAGACAAGGCAGTAGACTTGTAGGCTCCCTTTATGTTGCCATAGCATAAATTGATGGTTTTGTTGTGTCTGGTTGGACAAGAAATGTACTGATAAAAACTATTCATACACTTTAGGTTACAATGATTAAAATCTCCTAACACCAGGCATGGGGCATCGGGACAGTGGGACAAGAGTTTATCTGTGACCTTATGAATTGTTGACGCTGCATTTTTAGCATTGGCCTTTGGGTGTATATAGACCAGTGTCAAGAATATTTGTGGAAATTCTCGTGGGAGGAAGAAGGGGCGCACAGAAATGGATAGAAGTTCTATGTCTTCAGTGCACAGTGATTCTTTCACTGTAAAGTTGTTACACCACTGCTGGTTGATAAAGAAGCATAACCCGCCTCCTTGGGATTTCCCCGTGACGTCAGGATCTCTGTCTAAGCGAATTGGCGCACCAAAACCAGGCAGCGATAAATCCATCTCTGAATCTGCAGACGTGATCCAAGTCTCACTGAAGGCCAGAATGCACGCATTTTTGAACTTCTCCTGGTGGACAACGTTGCCGTGCAGTTCATCCATCTTATTTCTGATGGACTGAGCGTTGCATAGAATGATAGATGGGAGTGGTGTACGGCGGAATCCCAGCCGCTTGAGTCTGCGTCTGACTCCTCCCCGGCTTCCGCGTTTCCGTGGTTTATAATTCTTTATTTCACAATAATCCTTTGGATCACTGTAGATGCCCACTGAAGACAGAGTATCTGTTAATATGTCCGACAGCGGCACATTGGAACCTCTCCGGTTGAGTAAAAAGTCTCGGGAGTACAGAACCATGACACTTGTTTAAGAGCCAGGTCGTAAGTGCTCCACAGCGTAATGTCACAAACTCCACGTAATCCAGAGGAAAGTAATACTCTCCAACGTTTGCAAGATGCACAAGCATCACTTGACAGGCTGTATGTTGCCCCGATTGTCCATACATGTACGTTAAAAGCAGTAAGAAACCAAGTTAAAAGAGCGCACCACCACTGCTTGTCGCCACTTGCGCAGCGCCACTCATTATTTTCAAAGACCTTCAGTGATCAAGACAGCACTCTTTATAGTTTACAGTCATGAAATCCGGAGATTGGTTTCAATATTTCCCTTTCAAAGAAGTGGTGGGCATACTATTTTTCTCAGTTGAAATGAGGCTCCAGGATTTATCGTTTAGAAACAGAGAGATGAAATGAATGGGCTCAGAATGTCACGTGGGTGAAAAACAAATGAGGCCCAAAATGCAAAACTGCAAAAAAATTATGGTTTAATAAAAAGATAAAACAAATCCAAAACCACAGAACGAGGACATAACTAAAACAGACTAGGAAAGACAATGATGGAACAGGGAGTGAAGGAACACACAGGGCTAAATACAAGACTAACGAGACACAGGTGATACACATGAGGGCAGGGCTGGTAAGACAGGAAGAGCAACCAAAGCAGACACAGGGATATAACTACAAAATAAAACAGGAAATAAATCTAAACCATGACACAGAACTTGTCAGATCGTCTCAACAATAAACAACAGGCTCTTCAACACTTCTGATCCACTTTTGTGGATTATTTTCTCTCAAGAACTGCCTTCATCCTCATCATCGCTGTTGGTAAAGGCAGTGAACGCGATTAGCGATGTGTTTTTTTCCCGCCACTTCTCCCGCGTCTCCCGTGTTCCCCGTGGATGTCTACCCCCGCTACTTTCTCCCACATGCCCGGTGTTATGATCCCCCTGTCCCCTCGACCCCAGCCCCTGCTTGGCGTTCACAGAATGCTTCTACCGCGGCCACACGGAGGACAAGCAGCCGCTGTACTGGGGCTGATTGTGGACTATGGAGCGCGGTCTCCCCGTCACCAATAATGTCCGTGTCTGCTTCACTGGACACCTGTGTGTCTTCCTCCTCTGAATCTGAGTGAGTCAGTACCAGACCAAGTACTTCTCTGGTACTGAAGACCTCGTGAGTAAAATAAAAAAACACTCTCTCCCTCTGCTCTGCTCTCGCTTCTCTCAGCTCTACCGCTGCTGCTTCGCCTCCGCGCCGCTGCGCCGCAGGTGTTTTACAAACTCAATTTACTCAAAAACTTTCAATGTAACCACACCCACAAATGCTGCTCATATTACAGGCACACATGTCCACTAACCCCTGGTAAAAAAGTATTAACAAGCTTTTTGCACCACATTTTTAGACACAGCCTGTTTAAGTGAGCAATGTTGCTTGTCGCAATATTGCGACTTTGGCGCTTAAAGGGTTGATATGGCATCTTGTTCTTTCCGGGAAAAATGTAAGAAAATATAAAGGCATTTTCAAACAACAAACCCGGGACAACAGAGGAAAAGGTTGGTGTTTTTCCCACTTCCTTCGTTCCTTGCCAATGCAGATGATCCGGAACATTTGCAGACATTTATTAACATTTCTGGACAGGGGTTATCCAGGTCTCTATGGACAAATGTGTTTGTTATCATGACATTTCCTCTGATTCTCAGTTCTATTGTTGAGGAATCGGCAACATTGTAAAGGCCTCCGACATGACTTCTGTTGTGATTTAGGGGCAAAAACGGAACTTTTACGAACATTGGTGAAAAACCTTTGATGTAATAGCTTCACTCTTGTTACTCTGCTTGTTAGACCAGAGAGAGAAAGACCAGAGAGAGAGAGACCAGAGAGAGAGACCAGAGAGAGAGAGACCAGAGAGATAGAGACAAAATGAGAGCACAGAGAGGCCAGAGAGAGACCAAGGTTGCATGGCGGGTAAAATGGCGAGTTTTTTCGACCAGAAAGAGAGAGAGACCACAGCACACAATTCAATTCAATGTATCTGTTGTCGATTCACAAACAACAGAGAATCAAACAGGAAATGCAACTAGAAACTTGCAATGGCTGAAGCCATTGCGATTGACTGCGGAACAGATCTAATGTGGAAATCTGCTAAAAAAAATCCTTGAAATCCTTTAAAAGGCCTTGAAACTGTTAAAATACTTGATAGATATTTGAAACTCCTGAAGTCCTTGAAATTGTTGAAACCTTTAAACTCCTGAAATCCTTGAAACTGTTGAAACATTGAAACTCCTGAAATCCTTGAAACTTTTTTAAACCTGGAAACTGTTGAAAGTGTGGAAACTCCTGAAATCCTTGAACCTCCTGATATCCTTGAAACTGGTTAAATTCTTAAACAGTTGAAATCCTTGAAACTACTGAATGTATTGAAAGTGTCCTTGAAACTGAAAAATCCCCTCACCGCTGAAACAATTTGGTTCCTGTAACTAAGGAAACCTGGTCTGTGGTCATTATCTGGTGGTGGTCTGAGTCTTCGTTTGGGTCTTGGTCTGGTGGTATAATGCAACCTATTAGGTTGCATTATACTGGTTTACATGGAAAAATCCCTATTAGGTTGCATTATACTGGTTTACATGGAAAAATCCCTATTAGGTTGCATTATACTGGTTTACATGGAAAAATCCCTATTAAGTTGCATTATACTGGTTTACATGGAAAAATCTCTATTAAGTTGCATTATACTGGTTTACATGGAAAAATCCCTATTAGGTTGCATTATACTGGTTTACATGTACAAATCCCTATTAAGTTGCTTTATACTGGTTTACATGTAAAAACCCCTATTAGGTTACATTATAGTGGTTTACATGTAAAAATCCTTATTAAGTTGCATTATACTGGTTTACATGTAAAAACCCCTATTAAGTTCCATTATACTGGTTTACATGTAAAAACCCTATTAAGTTGCATTATACTGGTTTACATGAAAAAAACCCTATTAAGTTGCATTATACTGGTTTACATGGAAAAATCCCTATTAAGTTGCATAATACTGGTTTACATGGAAAAATCCCCATTAAGTTGCATTATACTGGTTTACATGACAAAAACCCCATTAAGTTGCATTATACTGGTTTACATGGAAAAATCCCTATTAAGTTGCATTATACTGGTTTACATGGAAAAATCCCTATTAAGTTGCATAATACTGGTTTACATGGAAAAATCCCCATTAAGTTGCATTATACTGGTTTACATGTAAAAAACCCTATTAAGTTGCATTATACTGGTTTACATGGAAAAATCCCTATTAAGTTGCATTATACTGGTTTACATGAAAAAAACCCTATTAAGTTGCATTATACTGGTTTACATGGAAAAATCCCTATTAAGTTGCATTGTACTGGTTTACATGGAAAAATCCCTATTAAGTTGCATTATACTGGTTTACATGAAAAAAACCCTATTAAGTTGCATTATACTGGTTTACATGTAAAAACCCCTATTAAGTTGCATTATACTGGTTTACATGGAAAAATCCCTATTAAGTTGCATTATACTGGTTTACATGGAAAAATCCCTATTAAGTTGCATTATACTGGTTTACATGGAAAAATCCCTATTAAGTTGCATTATACTGGTTTACATGGAAAAATCCCTATTAAGTTGCATTATACTGGTTTACATGGAAAAATCCCTATTAAGTTGCATTATACTGGTTTACATGGAAAAATCCCTATTAGGTTGCATTATACTGG